ATGCTCCACAGGTAGCTTGACTTTGAGTCTAAAAGCCATGCCATTTTCTCTCTTTGTCACCTCATCGTTACAGAGCTGCCATCGAACAAAGCTGAGCTGACAGAGCTCTGGGCCGAGCAGCATTACAACTTCATGGCTCAGGGATGGGGAACAGAGCTGGGGCTGAGGCTTACATTTACTGCAAATGTTTCAGGATATGCGGTACTTACAGCAAGTAGCTGGGTTTTAACCACGCCTGTTAACACTCAAATCATAGACGAGACTGCAGAAGACTCAACACAGTGCAAATCAGAGCCATTCGTGCTCTGATGTATCAACCAAACAAGACCAGATTTCTCTCACACCTCTAAGGAAAAGTATGAGTAATGGCAGGATAAGAATGCATGTTACATACTCACTGTCTTCTCCCAAGTGGGCAGCACCTTAGAATTCTGGGGAATACAAAGAGGTGCTGCTTTTTATTGTTTAGGCAGATCTGAAGGATCGCTCATCAGGAAATGGCAAGTGCACATCTCCCTCCTTTAGAAGTCACCCATAAGTTGTTCCTGATAGAAAGATTACATTCCACAGTAAAAAAAAAAAAATAAAAAAAAGAGCAGAAAAAAACCCAAGAGAATACCGTAAGAAATACTCAGCAGTTTCATACACTTTTTCTGTTGTAAACATATCTTCAAATAATTTATTTTACGGGCTTTGTTTTGAAGCTATCGGTTCACACCTGCCCCACATCATTTCCTTCTCGCAGACAGAAACAGGCAAATCTATCATCATTCAGAAAACAGCTGATTTAACAGTTTCAAAATGCAACTTACTGTGTGGATGGCAGGGCGCCTTTCTCTCCATTTGCATTCATTTTCATTAAAGAAAAAAGCAACTACGAACAAAAGAAAATCAGAAAGATGCAGCTGTACACACGATGTTTCCACTGTCCGTATCAGTGGTACTTCTAGCAGCAGTCTGGTCCAGAACAGAACAGAAATGTGTTACACCACTCTTACAAAGGCCGGATTTGTGATGTCCCTGCTACTCCTATGCCACATCCCTCATTTCTTAACCCTTCCTGCTGACTCTGAGAACAGCAGCAGGACGCCGGGGCAGTCGGTCCAATCCAGGCAGCCCATAGCGCTGCAGGCTTCTTCCTGCAGAGCAGACTTCCACAAGGTTATTCAACAAAGACCATACAAACATTATGAAGCAACTCTGGCTTGGAGAGGTAATGTCTCAGCAACAAAGCACAAAAACTCTCCAAGAGGCAGTTAAAAATATCTGCCTTTCAAATGAGAACCTAACACAAGTCACTTCAGCATTATTTCTACCAGGGCCACGGAGAGCTCTCACAGCTCATCTCTTCATCGTATCTTTGCAAGGCGCAGTCAAGTGGATGTGAGGAGATTAATTTTCCTGCGCTGCCCAAAGAGCTCTGAACAGGAACACGCTGTTTTCTTCCCTTCCCTGCTCATTCCTTTGATTCCATGTACAGCCTGACAGAATCAAATTCTGCACCCATATGACAGAGGTAAAGAAGGAGTCAGAGAAGGCTGAGAAGTTTTGTTGTGGAGCAAAGAAAGCAGCTATAACAGCTGCAACACAAACAGATCTGATGTTTATTAGACACCTTTTGGCCAGAACTTGACAACCAGGATGGAGCCACGAACAACTCTAGAGTAAAAAACCCCACTGCCTTTCTCATCAGTGGATGATTAAATGAGGAATTAGGTTCCTACTGAAGCCAGTCGGCCCTTAGACTCTGCTGGTAAACCCCCTGTCATCCCTGTCATTCAGCTCTGACTCACATGCAATAGCCATTTCAGTCTCCAGCCTATTCCTTCTTCCTTCCATTCGTTTTATGGTAGGTTAAATATGTACTTTATATATTTAACGAAGAGGATGGCAGACTACAGATGCACGATGCATTCTAACTGCAGCACCGACAGACACACCTGAGTTAGCCTTAGGGAACTTAAATACCTGGGTCAGTGAACCCAATAGTGGCAGCACACCTCAGTGCTGGCCAACACATGGGAAGTATTCACACCGTACAGCAGCACTGAGGCTCGTGTTGCTGCAGCTTTGCCATAGACACTGCTGCAGTTTGCTGGACAAAAGCTCACTGTGCTGCAGTCCCAGCCCTGGTGGCAGTGCTTGGGCTGCAGAGTGCAGGCTGGTGCAGGGGCTCCTGGCAGGAGCTGCAGCCAGAGCCGAGCAACATGGCATGGGGTGGAGGAGCAAAGCAACAGGACACCAGAGGCCTTCCAACAGAAACCAGGATGGATGGTGAATTGTAACTACGAGGCCCCAGAGTACTCAATTTGAGATGAGCTTTAATTCTGCTAACGTTAGATGTTAGAAGAAGCCTCTGAGACCTGAAAACTTGTACACTTCTCCCAGGAAATCAGTTATTTCAAGCGATGCTATCTTTCCAGGTTTTACTGACATTTCCTTGAACTGCATAGTATCAAATAATTGAGTTTTCTTTGAAAGACTCTTCTAAAGTTCTCTCTTTAACCAAAGTAACTACAAAACTTCAGAAATAACTTCTAGTTTACAAATACTTCCTTCTTTACGCAGTACCTTTTCAACTAGCCGTGTGATCAGAAGCTCCATCTGTTCTGTAACATTCTTCCACGGCTCCACCCAATAAGAACACCGTAACCCACCTCTCATCAGGCATATCTACACAGGAGGGTCACGATCATGAAACACAGATGGAAAAAAAAAGCTTGAGAATTGTTCAGAACCATGTCAGCATCTTCCTAATCACAGACTCAGGGACACAGAATTGCCTTACCACATACTCAGCACCTGCACATACATTACAGCCATGTAGCACTACAGGTTCTTATACCTCTATGTCAGTCACTGAGTGGCAGCAATTCCTTTGTACCTATGTCTGAATTATGAGATGTAGGGTAAAAATTTCCAAGTATTACTGACTTGTAATTTGTTTATCGCACCTCTCAACTCTCTGAAGTTCAGCATTACATACAAACACACAAATGATGCCCACTGAAATACTTGTGCACGTACCTCACTTCCTTAAATGATCGTTCTGATAAGCATACTCCTTTACAAGTTCGCTATATTCAATTTTACAAAGAGATGGCTGAAAAAACAGCAGAACGTTTTGTATTTACTGAAAGTACATGGATCAAAATTGAAGTTGCCAGCATTTAAGCGTTCCTTAACCTAAAGCACAGAGCTGCATTTTTAAAACAGATCTTTGTTATGAAACCCACAAACACACCTTAATCCATGCGTTGCAGCCTCTTTGCTCCAAATCCTCATAGCAGCGCCACAGGGTTACTGAAAACAGGCAGTCCAGTGATTAAATATAAACTCGAGTTTCTGCAAAGCAGTCCTTCTCAGGAACAAAAAGAAATAGGAAATGCTGCATATAGGCTTTTCTGGTTATTCCTCAAAATCTCTTGTTCGGAAGGCTGCATCGGTTGTGCTAGCTCAAACTCCCTGTGTGATCGATACAACACTGCACAGCATTATCGGACAGAGGGCTAGGAGAGCAGGACAGGCTGCTTCCTGGCTTACTGCAGTGTTAACAGACGGAGTGTGCGACACGAGGCCAAGGTCCAAATGAGATCTGACAGAAGCCGGACACACAAGAGCACCCAAAATTCTGACACACGCTATTCAGAGAGATGTTTAGGAGTTGCAGTCCTGCCTTCAAACTCACCCACAAGGCCAGGAAAGGTGCGAGCACCGCTCACCCACACCTGCAGTCTGCGTGAGTTCGGCTCTGCTCCCGCAGCTGCCCAGATCCGCGGGCACACGGCGCGTCTGCTCCGCCGCTGCGGGGTGCAGCAGCGCACAGCCGGGTCAGCAGAGCCACGCATCCCTCAATGCGGTGTTTCATACCCTAATGAGCCCGGGGAATTCCCCAGCGACGAGCCGAACGATGGGTTTCTGAGAGGTGCACGCCCGGCATGCACGCACGGAGCGAGCAGCGCCGCTCCTATTGTCTGCCTGCAGCCAGCCGAAAACCGAGCGTGGGGAGGACGGAGCATTACTGCCTCACACCCACTGCGCCCACAGACAGAAACTGAGCACCGGCACGCACGGGCGGGAAGCGAAGGAAAAAAAAAAAAAAAGAAAAAAGAAAGAAAGAAAGAAAAGAGTAAGAAGTTGGCGTCACCCGTCTCGGCGATCCGGGAACGAGCCGAGCCCGCGCCCCAGCGAGGGCAGAGGGCACACGAGCTCGCCGCCCCTCATCTCCTCGCACGGGACACAGCCCCGCGCCGGCCGCTGGACCTGCCCGCCCTGCCCGATCCCGCGCTTGGCGGAGGACCCGGCCCCATCCCAGCACCGCCGGGGCTCGGCTCCCCGAACCGACAAAGCTCCCGGGCCCGAGCTCGGCCAGCGGCCCCAGCACGGAGGCGCCCCGCGGAGGAGTTCCGCCGCCGCCGCCGCGCCCCTCCCCGGGCCGCCCTCCCCTCGCGGCGGGCCCGGCCGCAGCCCCTCTCCCCGCCGGGAGCCCCACGGAAGCCGGATCCCGTCTCGCTTCCTCATTCACCCCGCGCCGGGAGGGGCGGGGAGCGCGGAACGGGACGGTGCCGCCGCGCCGGGATCCAGATGCCGGCACTCACCGCTCCGCGGAGCCGCCGCCGAGTTCCGGGCACAATCCCGATGGAGATCGAGACAGAAACTGAGCCGCGCAGCAGCGCCCGCCGCCACGGCCCGGCCCAGCGCTCCCCGCCCCGCGCTCCGCCCACAGGGTGCAGCTGTGGCCTCGCGCTCACCTGCGGCCGCCGAGCTGCGCTCCGCCCCGCCCCGGAGGTGCTGAGAGCCGGCCGGCCGCGCCCCGCTCCGCTTCGATCTGCTCCGCAGTCCTGCCTTCCCGCTCTGCCCGCTTCGGCCTCCGCCCCTGGGGCAGCGCGGTGCCTCGGCCGCGCCCGGAGCGGTGCCGCCGACGCCGTGCCGCGCCTGAGGCGAGGGAAGGGCTTTCGTTGGCCCGGGCGTGAGGCGCGTGCGGGGCTGAGGAGCCGCAACCCGGCTGCTGCGCGCCCTTGCCCTGCGGGGAGTGGCTTTCAAGTTTCCTCGCCGCTTTGCCGCACTTCCTCTTCCAGGCTCTCATTTGAAGTAGTGTTTTGGTGGCTTAAGAGCCGTGGGTGTCGTTAGAGCGGCGGGGACGAAGCCGGGCGGGCTCCCTGCGGTGGCAGGTGAGGTGTGAAGGGCTGGGCTGCGCACAGGAATTTGTGGAGCATAAGAGGAGAGAGCACGGAATGACAGCATGCCCCGAGTCGGAAGGGAACCGTGCGGATCGTGGATTCCAACTCCCGGCTCTGCACGAGACCCTCCAGAAGTGAGGCCGTGTATCTGAGTGCCGCAGATGATTATTAACTCGGTCAGCTCAGTGCCACGAGCAGAAGAGAGCCTGTTCCACACCCACCACCCTCTGCTGCAGAGCCTTTTCCTGATAGCCAGCCTGAACGTCTTCTGCCCAAAGCGCACTTTTGTCATCGTTTTCTAACTCATCCTGGTAATCCTATTACTAAGTCAAGTGTAATTACTCTTACATGTTCATCTGGAGTGATGTCATTCTGCTCCAGCAGAAGGCAGTCCTGAAACTCCCGACTTTTTTCTGGCACAATAGTAATGGCAGGTGTTTTTTCAGGTGGGTGCCGGGGCGCTGCTGAGGGCTGACTGACCGTCACAAGGATGCAGACATCTCTGGAAAGCCGGGTCCCACCTGCGTGGTGTCCAGCTTCTTCCCCGAAGGCTTCACATCATACTCACAAGGTGATGTGGGAGGTCAAATCTGCCAAATCTGGATGGCTATAATGAGTATATAAATCAGCCTTCTTGATGTATTTATTTACATATATGCAGAGTTTAAAGTAACTTACTTTGAAAGGAAAATTCCACAAGCTGAGAGTTCTAGTAGGTGATAATCTGGGTGAAAGCAAGACAGTAGAAGAGTCTTCGGTCACTTCCTTTTTACTTTTGCTTCAGATGAACTATGCTCACTTTGTACACTTCTTAGACCTATTTTAGTGGCTGGGTTCTTATTTGAATTTTGTTTTCAGCCTTAGAATCTGAATGATGTTTGAGTGCTTTGGAACAGAACTAACGGAATTAACCATAATGTAACAAAACATGCGTGAGGACACCAATTTTAAAATTATGCACACTGCTTCTGAAATTTGGGGAACTTGATATGCGTGAGCAACTCATGAATGTTGAGTTTACAAGAGCAAAACTAAAACTACTTTGAATGAGAGGGAAAAAGCAGAAACTAATTCTGGCAGAGTGATTTTCCTTTGCCAGGCTTCACTGGATTTCATTTAATGCAACATTCTTAACGTTGCAGCAAGCCGTTTGTTAATGACTATTAATCATTTAGAGTGTCATTTAGCCAAAGTCCTTCTGAAACAGACAGTCCTTCCTGTCCTGGACTGTGAAAGCTGCGTAAGGCTAAAGAGGTTTGCCTCTTCTGCCTTTGCTTAGTCTGTCAGTGGGTTCAACTTTGTCTTTATTCAGTCCTAATTAAAAGTTTGGCCTGTAGGAAATGGAGAATATTCTCATCTACTAGAGAAATATGGCTTTAGAAACTTGGGATGTTTCATGGTACTAAGAGACTCTCTTGCTGACTGATTATTTTCTGTAATTTTGCTTTTAAAACTTAGCAGTGCAAAACATGTGTTAACACTCCTGGTGTTGCTGCTCAGCGGGGGTTCCTTCAGCAGAACAGAATCCCAGTGCAGCTGAGGAGGCTTTATCACTGTATTCTGCATTCAGTGGAATTGAGGAGGGGAAAACCAGTTACTGTTGGCCAGCATTTTGCAGTGTTCTGTGTCAGCTTCTAGGTGAATATTAGGGTGTGCTCTATTTCATTGAGATTTCAGGGGAACTCTTGGGGAGGGGTGGGAGAAAAGGTGCATCATGGAAACAGCGATGTGGAGAAGGACAGGGATGTGAATGTTTCTGCCTTCCGTTGTTCAGAAATGTGCCTGGCAATATTTTAAATCATCCTGAGTCCTTTTTCTCTTCTTCATGTTTCATCTCTTGAGTAGTTGAATACACAGCACCATATCTCCTGAGTCTGAAGGGGGAACTGCTTCAGCACAGAGCAGTGTGTGGACAAGGTGTGCTACCAAACCAGAGCCTTCTGCTGCTGGCTTCTTCTGAATTCTTCCATTCAGGAAATCTGCTCTGCTTGAAGCTGCTTCATTTTTGGTGTGCGGCATGATGAGGTTGGGTTATGATGAGAGTGAGCAATTTCATGAGCTTATATTAAAAAGGAAAGTGAGAAATTAAAATTTCTTCAGCAAGGCCTAAGTCATAGCAGTAGCAGAGGGTAAGAACCAGTTCTCTTGAGGTTTCAGAGTCAGATTAGTACAAAACAATTTTCAAAAAGTATGTGATCACCTTTTTTTAAGCTGAACCACTGGTACCTGGTATATAATTCTGATGGTGGATAGCTGACTGATTCAAATAACCAAAGATGGTTATTTATGCCAAAGTATCACTTCAGCTTCTATGAGATGAAGAACAGAAAACAGTCGTAGCAGTCATTGCCAACTTCTTTCTCACAGAGCCATAGAACTTACATAAGCCACAGAGCTTATAAAAGGACTTCACTTGTCTCTCCTTCCTGAGCCTGCACTTGTTTCCTCTTTTCTGCTAGTGGTAGGGGTGTGAAAAAAGGAGTCTGGTGATCTAGAACTGATGGGAGTTTCCACCTGTTACCCTTTGCACCAGTCTGTCGTCTGCTGTCTGCATTCTCTTTGAAATGTTTTGATCATCATGCATTGTCATTTATTCTTTTTTTTTTTTTTTTTCTTAAGGTTGTGGTCAAAGACTTGTTTTCTGTACAGTGCTTTTCCTCCAGTTTTTCATGGTTGTGTTTCTTTTTGTTGTATTTTTTTTCCTCCTCCCCAGGAACATGAGCATTTTGTGGATCAGCAATGACAGAAGTAGGTACCGAATTTGGTACTGTGAGGATCTGCTGCCACATACATCTGATCTGCTTGCTGTACATGTTTGGACTGATGCCCTATTGAAACAGGAGCGAGCCCTCCTTTTCTGAAGTCTTGAAATTTTAGGGATTCTTTTGATGGCAGTATAAATGAATTTCTACAGGTTACTTTAGCTTTTGTACTGACGAAGGAAGGATTTCACCTTTCTGTTAGTCAGCATGCCATTTACTGGGACATGCAGCTGAGTTGGGCTTTCCTACCCTGCAGTGGTTTGCTGCTGTGCCCGTGCAGAGCTGCAGCTGGGTGGAGTGAGACACTGTGGTTAGGTTGCTACATGTAGGAGGTGCTAGAATCTCTTTGTTTAAATTTATTATGCTTTTAGAACTTGTAGTTGCATCATATTCTGTGCTTACTATACTTTAAAATAATGGATGTATTTTGTTTTTCCTGGGGGATGAGATGTATAAGCTAGGCAACTTATGTCCCAAGTTCTGTGGCGTTCTGATGAGGAAAGCGTGCAGATTTATATGTATTTGTGTATGCAACTTAGTGCAGAGTGGTTTTGGTTATCAGATGTTAGTCTTTAAAATGTGAGATTAAAACTGAGATACACATTATGTCTCAACTGCTCTGCAGTTATCTGAGCTTATCTGAGCAAACTTTTTTGTACGACACACTGACAGATGAGGCAAGAAAATGCCTTCCTGACAGTTTGAGATTCCTGCCTTGGGAGCATTGCTTATGTTTGTTTTTTAAGGCCTTTGTGCTTGAAGCAGGTATTAACTATGTGACAATCTTGGGCACTTTTTCCCTCTTAAATGAAATCAATTTCACATGCTTCTATAGAAGATTTGCAAATGTGATCTGCATTTCCCCAAAAATAGGAAATTTGGGCTACAAGTAAAAGGAGCCACAGAATCTCTTAAGATTTTATCAGTATTTCTTCTGCCTGCTTTTGCTGAGGATAGCAGGCTGATAACTGCATTTTGAACGTGTGAGGCTGTCAGAGTAACTTAGTTAAATCTGTTCTTTCAGAAGAATTGACGTTAAGAATGACTTTGCACACATCTCCTTAGCGTTCAGGTTCAATGCTCTGGCTGTCAGTGTTGACTCTGAACAACCCAGAGGGTTTTGCTTTCCCCTGTGATAGGTTTACTTTGCAAAATGAGTCTGATGTAGAAGAAGGATGTGTATGTATTGATGTAGTTTTCTTGCTGACCACAGTCTTATTCCTACTTTAGATTTCTGTGAGAACTGGAGAAAGTTGCAAAGTGGAGTAATGCAAGCATGGTTTTCTCTTGGTTTCTTTTTAAGCTTTTTTGAACAGTTCAGAATGATTTTTGTGAACTTCAGGAAATTAAAATCCTGTTTGTGCACATAAGAGACATCATAGATAGGGATTTCGTACCTCTGTACTAGCTTGGGCAGAAGAGAGTGATGGTTGTGTTTTGTACAGTTTTTTTCCCCCCCTTTCCCCAGGTACCTTTTTGGCTTGCAGCTAAAGTTAAAACTAACTCATTCATCAATGAGAGTGAGCTGGAGACCATCAAGTCAATGCGCTCAGGTCATCACACGATCTCATATGGTATTACCTTTGCTTTCGCTGCACACTTGAAAGAAATGAAGTCTCAGCAACTGCTGTGCAGTTACCATAGGAGTACAGCTCTGCTGGATATGGCTTCTGCTGCACAGATGTTGTTTCAGGAGTGTCAGATATCCAGAGTTTCATCATTCAGGAAATTCTGTCTGGCAAATAATAGTATCTGGTATGATACTAAAACAGTGCACATACATTCATTTTGATTTTAACACTTTGTCATTTACAGCTATTTTCTTGAGTTTGAGTTAATTGAAAATTTTGGAGGGTTAAGAAAGGAGATGAGTTCAGCTGATCGTACCGTTGGACCGTCAGTTACAGTGGCAGCAAGGCAGCAATGAGGGGAGAGCATGGCAACACATCTCCTCTCTGTTTGCACCATGTTTTTCCCCCTGTCTCAACAGTTTAGGAGTGGGAAGGGAAAGAAATCCTTTCCCTGTTCCTTTTTCAGCAGATGAGCAGAGCAGGTGAGGCGCAGGGATAAGAACCACCTCCAGGATGTTTTATTTTCAGATTACTGCAGATAGAAGTTATTAACTAGAATTTCTTCTGTTGGTAAAATATGCAAACCACAGAAGTATTAGTATTTTTTGTTCTATTTAAAGTGCTTTAAGCATACTGTCAGACTATGCAAACAATAACATGAATCAGTCCCACAGCGTGATTGGAACAAGGCTTTGTTTGCAGAAAGACAAAATGTGCCCTACTGCAACCAGGTGTGAGGATATGGGAGTACCTGATTCTTAGTTTCGTGCTCTGCTGGCGTCATTTTAAAGTGTAGTTCGACTGCTGTGAATGAACTGCTTACTCTTGGCAGCAAGTGCCTCTAACATTTGATTCTCATGTAGTGGTTCTTCCCTGCTTGGGTATTTTTCCCTGCTATAGGCATACTTAATATTGTTGTTTGTAGGTCTTCACGTTCTTCTAGGCTGTACCTCTTCATCCTTCTGTTTGCCTTTACTCTGGCAAGTACTCATTAGACCATAATTGTGTTACGATAATTGCTTAGTTGGATTTATTTTTATTGGTACAGCAACTGCTGTTATCAAAAGCTGAGCACAGTATCGTTGAAACGAGGTAGCATGTAAGATAACTCCCAGTAAACCTTTAAAATGAAAGCAAATACCAGTAATTAAACTATAGTTTGTGTATTGTGTGTGTTTGCATGGGAGGAGGGTGGAGGGAGGTGGTTGCCCTCCCCAGGCACATCACAGCTACGCTGA